TTTGTGAGCACGAACAATTAAAATTATAGCCATGACGCTTTTTTCATTTCTCTTCAATTCACACAGAATGAGGTATTTATACAGGGTGTCCCAAAAAAAGTGTGCAATACTCTACCAGCGGTTTCTAGAGCTTAAAATTGGAAGAAAAGTTTATATAAACATAGGTCGACAAACGTCCCCTAAGGGCGCTACGGTCTTTTAAAGGGGCTCCCCTGAAGATGGTTCTTCCTTAATATTCCCGAAACGTGTTGCGATAAAGACATAAAATTTGGTATTCTAGCCTGGTTTTTTATGCTAGATTTAAAAATATCAACAATTTTAGACATTTTTGTTTGGAAGCGTATGTAACAGGGACGGATTCAGGTTATTTTAGACCCAAAATTTTTGTGTGATTCTATTTTTAAAATTCAATTTTAGAATTTGAAAATTTAGGGTTTTCTACATAAAAAAGGTACTCTTATTGAATATCGATAAATTGTGCCATTTTTGAATAAAATCAAACTAAAAAATTTGTCACATGATAGGAAATGTACTGCGAATTTAAATGAATTGTTGATTATACATAGTTAGCCATGACTGCAAACAAAAGTTGTTTTGATTTGTTATGACTTATTTTGACGTTAAGCTGACATTGTTAGCAGTGTAAAATTACTAGATTTAAATCAAAATTTTCATCAAATCGATTTAAAATGCCAAAATTTACAGACAGAGAACTGACTGACATGCATTTTGTATACGGGTCTTGCAATGGCAGTTCATTGGCAGCCGTAAGAGGATATCAAAGAAGATTTCCCAATCGCATACTACATGGACGTCGAATATTTACTGATATTCACCGGAATTTGTCAAACCATGGAAGTTTTCAGCTCATGCAGGGCCCATGAAGGCCACTGGGAAATCATCGTATGGATATTGCTTTAAATATGTTTGAAAATAATCCGCAAATAAGCATACAGAATGTTTCCGAAAATATGGATATACCTCAATCAATAGTAAGAAAAATATATGAATACCTATTTGATAGTTATCCTAAAAATAATAATTTTAGATAGGAAGAATGACGACACTGGTCAAATGAAAATCCAAAAGTTGTTCGCCGTACAAATTTCCAACATAGATTTTCATTGAACTTATGGGCAGGAGTAATTGGGGATCAAGTAACAGGGCCTATTGTACTTCATAATCGTCTTAATTCAGAGGTGTATCTGAACTTTCTTCAGAATGAGCTCATGGATATAATACCATTGGATGTGCGCCAGCAGTTTCAAGAAAATATGTTTTTTCAACATGAATGCGCCCCTGCACATTTTGGACGCAATGTTCGAAATTGGTTGAATGTCAATTTTCCAGACAGGTGGTTAGGACAAGGAGGTCCTATAGCGTGGCCGGCACGCCACGATCACCTGACCTAAATCCATTGGATTTCTATTTTTGGGGCTCATTAAAAGACCTAGTTTACTCGACTGAAGTAAATACTCAAGAAGATTTACTTCAAAGAATCCATCAGGCTGCAAATGAAATAATAAGAAAAAGGTTTTCCACTTTTCGGGCTACGCAATCATTTCAATTTCAATTTCGTTCGTAGAAAAAAATTCTTTCTTTTGTTTTTGCCTAAATGTTGCAATAGAAATATGAATTTATGTAATATTTACCAATTATTAAATTAGTTTTTTCGTTGACATGGCTAATTATTCAACAATTCATTTAAATTCGCAGTACATTTCCTATCATGTGACAAATTTTTTAGTTTGATTTTATTCAAACATGGCACAATTTATCGATATTTAATAAGAGTACCTTTTTTATGTAGAAAACCCTAAATTTTCAAATTCTAAAATTGAATTTCAAAAATAGAATCACACAAAAATTTTGGGGCTCAAATAACCTGAATCCGTCCCGGTTACATACGCTTCCAAACGAAACTGTCTAAAATTGTTAATATTTTTAAATCCAGCATAAAAAACTAGGCTAGAATACCAAATTTTATGTCTTTACCTCAACACGTTTCGGAAATATTAAGGAAAAACCATCTTTAGGCGAGCCCCTTTAAAAGACCGTTCTTCCTATTTTAAGCTCTAGAAACCGCTAGTAGAATATTGCACACTCTTTTCGGGACACCCTGTATAATTATGTAGAAACAGTCTAGCGATTTTATGTTGGTTGTGTCTATGGCTGTTTGCTTCCTTGACCTACAGCTCGTAAATTAGATGGTAGATAACGCCGATTTCTCAAATAATAAAATGAGGACCCTAATTATAAAAAGTACATAAATCTGTCATGAGAAAATAATGATTATATTACGAGTATGTTTACAATTGATACATTCATAACATTGTCACTTTGTTGAAAAAAACGTTGATCATGTGGTAGATGTTATCATTACGAAGTCAATGTCCATTGGGGTAATTACGCAATTATTGTTGTCAGTTGCAATCTTAAATACCCACACTAATTGTCATAAGATGTTGTCTTATTCCAACTAGCCTTTCGTCGTTATGGAGAGACCAACATAAACAGCCTGTATTTTAGACAACTTCAAAGAAAAAAATGATGCCCAGAATGTTCAATCAATTATAAACTTGGTTATACAGAGTAGTTCATAATAAACGATACGGCCGTATCGTCAGTGGTTCCTACAATTGTATGGCCTTCTTGATTTTCATTCGTAACGTACTGTTATTGAGCCAGTCATTTGACTGTGAAATTGAATGTTGAAATGCAGATATAAACGTCGCTTAGATCGCTTCAAGTTTTACAAAAAATAACGAAACTGCAAAAAGGTATTGGAGTTGTAGTCAACGATCGTCTTTCCTGGTCAGAGCATATTCACCACGTTACATCAAAAGCCAAGAAACTTCTATACATGCTGGAGAGGTCTTTCAAAGGATCCGATGTCAACACTTGCGCCTACACTTACAAGGCATTCGTGAGGCCAATTCTTGAATTCGCTGGCCCGGTATGGGACACTGTGCTTCTGCGCGATAGAAATCTCGTCGAATCAGTACAGCGTCGGGCTACTCGTATCCCTTTTGGAGCACGAAGACCAAGCTATGAAGATCGCCTTGAATTATTCAACCTGACCTCATTCTCTGAGCGAAGACTTCGTGGCGATCTTATAGTTACGTTCAGGATACTTCATGGTTTGATGGGCACCAACCTCATGCATCTAACGTATATTGTCTGTCGCGCAGCAATCTACGCGGACACAGCTTCAAACTGCATAAGGAGCCATTTAAAACAACAGTCCGACAGTGGTTTCTTCCCAACCGCATATTCAACACCTGGAATAGTTTACCTGAAAGTGTGGTTGGTGCTACTTCAGTTAATAGCTTCAAAGTGCAGTATGATAACTGGAGGAGTGTACAAACTTTATAGCTATGAACTGTCTTTTTTTATTTTTTCTATTTGATGTATTTGTGTTACGTGTCCGTACACTATATTTACTGCATGAGCTGTGTACTCTGCTCATCTCAATTATCATAATAATAATAATAATAATAATAATAATAATAATAATAAAATAGGAAGTGTAAGTAGTATGTTGAAAAAGAAAATACAGTTCTATCTCGCATCCGCAGAAGCACCCGCAGGGGTATCATGTAAAAAACCTAAAAGACATCCAAAAAATGACGAAATGTCATCTTGCAGACTAGGTAGTTTTTAGTGTGCAAATAGTTCATTCCGCGTTTGCTCGCTATGATCGCTGTGAGCGTCATCGAAAGCGTCCATCTATGGAGGAAGAACTCAACGACACGACTCGCTCAACCATGCACTGTTGGTTACAGAAAGCCAAGTAGTGTTGATGTCTGAGGAGATGTGAAAGAAAAAAGTTGGTTGAGTAACAAGGCCGCATCTAGATGATTATGTGTATTGGTCTGCATGTATATAAAATCAGTATTATTTGCTATGTGAGAAAATTATTACTGAATATGCTGCTAATGAAGTATACGGGTTATTTATATGTTCTCCTTTCTGAAGGCAGATTATGTTTAAAGTTATGAATTAAAATGTTTCCCGTTTTTCTTTGTGTTTTCAGAAACTTTGAAGAGAATTACCGGAAATCACCATCGCGCCCGCGTTGTGTGTAGTATGTGGTAGTAATCCCTAATGCAACGATGTCACCTGTATATAGCTCCAAAATTGTACGAACATTTACCAAATAATTTAAAACAATTACGCAAAACATTAGGCTTCAAAAAAAAATTAATAAATTATTATATTTTGCAATTCAACATACATACGATCCATGTACAGGCGTTGTCCTCCTATGGATATATTATATTTATTTACTCGTTTCATGTTCCCTGTATTTTAGAGTAAATAAATATATGTAATTTCTAGAATGAATAAGAAAAAGTGGATGCGCAACTAATATCTAGCTTTGAATACACCTCAGCACACAAATTGTCAGTATGCACTGCCGTTTCCTTCCAGCTATAGTATACAACTTACAGCTTAGACGTCCAATGATGCCATCTCTGAAGTATGTTACATCATATCAGAGCCAGACATTGACAGCTGAAGCATCATGACTTTTCGGCAACACAGCTACAAAACGACTTCACAATAAGTGTAAAACAGCTACTGCGAAGTTGACGTCTTGTAGAAAAGCCTACATTACGTCAGAAAAAAACTAACAAAATGTCACTTTTTAAGATACGTAATACCAATGCGGATTTCCCCTTTTTGTGTTGATATATTAGAAACAGTTGGAATTATAGAGAAAAAACGATGATTCAGATTCACCCTGACCACATTAATTTTGCTAAGGCGTATTTAGGTCAATATCCGCATTTCCACGAGTTCAATCTAGGATAACGAAATATAACATTGTCATACTGCTCGATCGACTGAATTCAGAGCACACGTATTGAAAACAATGTCGTTAGTAGTTACAGAAGCATGGCACTATAAAATATTCTATCTGAAAGCAGCATGAGTAAAATGGCCTGTGCACGGAAATATATGTGGCATTGTTATATTTTATGACGTTTGTTGTTTACAATATTATTAATGACTTTATAAGCTCGATATTATAATGTTCATTTTACATTGCACGCAGCTACTACTTTAGCTAGACAATTTCATGATGACAAATATCGATATTGCATTACTTTTCAGAACAGTGGCGGCTCGTGGCAAAATAAAACAGGTGTTCTGCAAATCCGAACTTACCTATTTTTTATATGACAGTTCGATCCTGCACTCCTTCTTGGCAGCAAATTTGTCGATCACCTTCCCGTTGAAATTTTCCATGGTCGAAATAAATTCCTTTTCAATGGACAGCATTGACAACGCTGTAAGGCGATCCTGGGTCATAGTATTACGAAGAAAAGTCTTGATTCTTTCCAATGTTGAGAAATTTCGCTCAGCCTCTGATGTTGACATAGGAGTTATAACAATAATTTCTAATAGCTTTTTTGTTTCTTTTAGTGTTTCCTCCAAACTGTTTTGTATCAAAAATTTCAAAAGAGACAGAGTTCCATGTAAATCTCGGCAATCAAACCGTGCATAAATAACAGACTGTCTTTAAACGACTTTTTTCTAATTCGGGATAAGCCAAGCAGGTAGTTTCCAACTTGTCATCAGGAAACTTACCACAGTATTCTCCAAAGTGTTCGGGGAAAAAAGGGATGCGGCTACCAAATGATCTATGAATTGAAATCTGTCATTTGCAGAATTCACTAAATTGTCGCGAACTTCTAATGCGGCAACTCGGTGATCGTGACTGCTATTATAACGGCGTCTCCTTTTGTTGCCTTGGGGTTCAGTGCAAATACTTTTGGCTTCATTTATTATGTCATCAATCCTATTTCTCACATCGACATTTTTCAAAATCATCGATAGCCGTTTTAACTTGCGCTGGCTCGGTTTTTCTCTTCTGCAACTGGTTGAACAAGATGTCGACGTGAGGCATGACATGATGAAAAAATGTCAACCAAAACACGAAAACAGAATCGTTTAACATACGGCGAATACCACAAGCTGCCTTGCAAATGGTTTCCTTAGTGAAATTTTCTTCTATTTCTTCCATGCATTCAGTGAGTGACTCTCAAACACTACATTTATTGTTCGAATATTAAAATTTCAACGAGTTGTTGCTCCTTGTGGAATTTTTTTCCCCACAATTCTCTTCAGTACCTCTGCGCGTTGAGGAGAATTATTAAAAAGTCCCGGAATATCTTACCAAATCCCCAAAGAACACCCGAACTTGAGCATTTGCGGAAGCAGCTTAGCACATAATCTGGTTTAACTGATGCGCATAGCAATGCACATAGTGAGCGAATGGGTATCTTCGTTTAATTTTTGCCTGTACTCCAGCATTATGTCCGCTCATTACCGCGGCTCCATCATAGCTTTGTGAAATCAGTTTGTTAGGGAAATTTCCCATTAATGGATCTACATGCTCAAAATGTGTCTTGTGAGAGTATCAGCGTCACATTTTTCGGAATTCATATAATTCCAAAAACATTCTACTGGTTCGCCGTTAAAGATACTACGTGACATATAAATTAAATGGTTTTATTTTAATAAAAGTTGGTGAATGCATTTATCTTACTGTAAATAACAAGTGAAAAAATGTTCAGCCTTATCAGTTGGACATTCCGGTTTTTATACTGCTTTTTTTTAATTCACTAACGCTTTAAAATTAAATATTTCAGCCGCAGTAAAGAATCAACGTTGGCGGATTTTGGTTCTTGACATCCTTTACGATCGGTTACGATGCCTAGAGTACTGAGACCTGTACGATTTCGTCAACTTAGTGAGTTTGATAGGGGCCGTATAGTGGGACTCCGGGAAGCTGGACTTTCTTTTCGGGCAATTGAAGTTAGAGTACAAAGAAGTGTAGACACTGTGGTTAGGTGTTGTCAGGCATGGCTTCGAGAAGGCCGTACGCATAGAGCAAGGGGCACTGGACGCCGCCGTAGAACAACAGACCGTGAAGATCGCCGCCTAAGATTATTGGCCTTAAGGGACTGTTTCTCCACTACCAGGTCCATTGCAAATGAATGGTTTGCAGAACACGGAAGACCTATTGGCATGCGAAGTGTTTACCGACGAATGAGAAGTTTTGGCTTGTTTTCATACCGACCACACTGGGTCCTCCCTTTAACTCGAGAACACCGACGTAATCGCCTTGAGTGGTGCAGACAACGGTCACTCTGGGATCAGGAATGGAAAAGTATTGTCTTTAGTGACGAGTCTCGATTTTGTTTAGGCATGCACGATGGTCGTGCCAGGGTTAGAAGGCGACGTGGTGAAAGGAGGAATCCACAGTTTTTTGTTGAAAGACATGTTCATCACACTGTTGGAGTTATGGTTTGGGGTGCTATAGCTTATGGCTCCAGGTCACTTTAATCTTTAATCTTTAATCTTCATCAGAGGTAACATGAACGCGCAGCGTTATATCCACGAAGTTCTAGAACCCCATCTTTTACCCTATCTTGACACCCTGGCAGATCCAACTTTCCAACAAGATAATGCCCGACCACATGTTGCAAGAGTCACAATAGACTTCTTTCAACATAATGATGTCACATTGTTACCATGGCCACCAAGATCTCCCGACTTATCCCCAATTGAGCACGTGTGGGATATGATGGGTAGGAGATTGCTCAATTTGCAACGTCCTCCTCAGACTCTAGAAGCACTTCGAGAGGAGTTGGTGGTTGCCTGGAATGAGATACCACAGGAGGACATTGACCACCTGATCAGAAGCATGCCTAGGCGCGTTGGAGAATGCGTAGCACATCAGGGTGCATCCACACATTATTAAAGGTCAAAGGGCTTTAAACCAGTGCAATCATTTTGAAATTTTTATCATTTACTTATTATGCTTCATTAAGTACTTATCAAAATTTTATTAAAATAAAACCATTTAAACTGGGTGTTCGGATTTATATGTCACTTAGTATACGTATCTGAAAATTGTTACCAGTTAGGTTTTCCCCGAAATGTCCGTTGTTTCATCTGCTTTTATCGCCAAATACGAGGCTCTGTTAATCTGTTTTATTATTTCTTCATGACAAACTTCAAGAATACAATCCAGTAGATCGTTTATATTTCTTTCGAAGTTCCTTTAAATATTGAAGAATTTTTTATGTGTTCGCTTAAGGCTGTATCAAGCTCAGCAGAAAAATTAATCAGTCCACGAAATATTCCCGGGTTTTGGGAGCTCTCGGTTTCGTCATGGCCCCGTAGCGCCAATTCGAATGCTCCGTAAAATTTTATACAATCGATTATTTTTTATAGAACGTACCTGTTTTTTGTAACGGTATCATTTCTCCAATATGCTCAATCTAACTGAGCTCTGATGTTAACAGTCCCCAATAAAGCCAATTCCATCGAATTATGAAGATGTGTTTTATAGTTTTCATGCTTCTTAATTTTTTTTCACTCAGGTGCACTAAATCTGAAACACCTACCTCCGTCCAAGCTTTGTCACCGCCGAAAAGTATGCAAGGAAGGCAGAATTTATGAAGACCAATAATAACTCCTTTTATCTCATCGGAATATGCTTTAGCTTTACCCATTTTGTCCAGAAAAAAAATTAACAAAAACGCAATTGTTGAACAAGCTAGAACTATAAAGTATTAAAGCACGGTTAGCTTATCAAATGAGACAAGATAACTGAAGTAAAACTGTGTTATAGGTTTAAGTACAACACAAATTAAAAGAAATAATCGAAAATCAATATACAAAAACATAACGATATTCTAAAGGCAAAGACATTCATATTATGGCTAATAATGAGATCCCAATAGTAGTCTGAGTGATGCTTGATTTCCATAGTGACGGTTTTCAATAAATAAAGAAAATTAAATGCGTACTGAATAGTTTTTCTTGTTATGATTTTAAATGGAATAAATACATACTGAATATTTTTTTTGTATGTTACGATTTTAAATGGAAATATGCAGGTGTTCGAATGCTTTTGAACAATAGTGTAACTCATCGAAATAGAAAATTATTGAAATTAAATTTCTGCATTCTCCTTGGAGGTATTTATTTTTAACAGATGTTTGAGATAGAATATTTGTAAATGCGGGTTTCACTGTGAATAGATTTTTTTTTAATCTTCAGAGGATGATCCGGCCCTGTCGTTCATGTTCAAGTTACACTCTCCAGAACGTAGTGAATTGTTCCTCAATAAGTTCTTAAAAGGGAATAAATATCTGAATATTACGTAATCAAAAGTTGCTCTTGGGATTACCGCCGTTTCGTGTCTAATGCTCGTGCTCGTTTGAATTAGTATTCAAGACTCGACTCCATAAAAAGAAACCGGGTGGGGACAAGCCAGGGCTTCGTGGTGGCCAATCAATGTCGTCTAATCTCGAGTTCACTTGTCCAGGGAACATTTCCCGTATGGCGACCATGCTCACGTTGGACTCATCCTGATGACATTCGCAGAACGATGAATCTTGTTCATGAAGTAAGATATGCTCACCAGGAATTCCGCAATGACCAATGGAACGACTTTCTGGCGGGAATGATTGACTCAAGTACTCCTCTGTGGAAATTGGCGAAGTCGCTCAGAAACGCAGAGCGAGAACAACTCCCGCGCATCCACGATCATAGTCTTCAGGTCAGAGGACAAGGTCGAGGTTTTTCGCTGATGCTATGGAACGACAGTTCTCTCCCAGCTATGATCTTGATAATGATCTCGACGAGGAGCACCAAGCTGTAAGATCTGTCAGGAGATATTTCAGGGCCAACGGCGTCAGTGATCCCGGTGCCGCCATTAGTGATTCTTCCCCAGAAGATTCTTTTTCGGAAGATTTTTCCGCTGCAGAGTTGCACAGCACATCAACGGCTTCTCCCGAGATCCCGCATTCTACACCAGCAGAGCTTCAACGTCATATTAAAGACCTCAAGATGCGTAAAGCGCCTGTGGAGGATCGAATCACTAATAAGGCGCTGAAGCTGAAGTTCTTGACTTATCTCGTGGCTATTATCAATGCCATGCTGAGGACCCAGTACTTTCCATCGGCGTGGAAGACTGCGGAAGTTATGATGATTCCAAAGAAGGTGGGTTCGATATTTTCCCAGGACTATCGTCCCATTAGCCTACTGTCTGCACCGACTAAGCTCGCTGAAAAGGTGATTCTACGTCATCTTGCGAATTTCCCGTTAGACCACCATGTGATTCCTGACGTGCAATTTGGATTTCGGTCTGAGCATAGTACGGAGTTCCAGGCGGTTAGGCTTGCGGATCGAGTAACCAGGGTCTTCACCCTTAACGAAAGTACTGGCATGTTGCTTCTAGATGTCTCGAAGGCATTCGACAAGGTGAGGCACAAGAGCCTTCTCTATAAACTAATTCAAAAGGCTTTTCATTTTGGCTCCTAAAACTTTTGAAACCCTTCCTTGGAGGAAGGAAATTTCCGATCAAAATTAATAATGTCTTGTCGACAGTACGGCCCATCAAAGCCGCGTCCCTTAGGGTTCGGTTCTAGGGCCAATCCTTTACTCACTTTTCACAACACATGATGTGCCTTGCCCCAGCGACTGTGAAGTCTATCTATATGTTGATGACACTGCACTGGTGGCCCAGTCGCGTTCCGGGAATCTAGTTCACGATCATTTACAAAGTGCCATGGATGAGGTGTTGGAATGGGCAGATCGGTGGCTAATCAAAATTAATTACTCGAAAACGCAGGCTATCTATTGTATTAAAAAGCGTAGCGGCGCCCCGCCTGAGGTTTTAGTGAATGGAGCTCTTATACCATGTGGAAATTCTGCTAAGTATCTCGGTGTCACTCTTGACAGGGGGATGACCTGGTAGAATCACACTGAAGCGTTAAAAACTAAATCCCAAATTACGTTTCGGCAACTCTACCCTATGTAGAACCTCAAAATTAAGTTTGGTTAACAAAGTTTGGCTATACAAAATGGTTATCAGACCAGCAATCACTTACGCATGTGCAGCATGGAGCTTTCTTGCCAAAACGCATATAAGTAATCTGCAGGTTTTGCAGAACAGAACCTTGCGAACCATCACTAACGCACCACGGTATGTCTCCACCCTTCACAGAGACCTCGGCATCCCTTACCTAAGAGACTACATCAAACATTAGGCGCAGTTACAGTATAGTCAAGCGGAATTGCACAGCAACCCTCTGTTGCGTGAGTCAGTAGACTACACATACGAGCAAGTTTGCAAGCGCACAAGACCGCGGCTCGCACTGTGATCAAAATCAAATCGTGCAATTCTAAGTCCAACCATAATTACGATTTTTCCCAAATTAATTTTTTGATCAATTTAAAATAACCGAATACCAGTTAACAATAGCAAGGCATCCCTTTAACTGACGCACTTTACCCTCTTTGCTCTTCCCCCTTCCTTCCTTTCCTTCTTCTTCCTTCTTTCTCCCTGACTTCGTC